TCCTCAAAGCGCTGAACACGGTTTTGCAATTGACTCCAGCGAGGCCCGGTAGCCGCCGGCTGGGGTGGCTGTCAGGGCGCTGCGGAGCGGACGCGCCGTTTGTTACTGCTTCCAGCAATCGAGACGGACAAGGGAAGCGACTGAAACGGACGCCGGCCACAGGAGAGCGAGGCTTCTGCCGGGCGCCACAACCAGGTGTTTTTTCCCACGGCACACCTTACACTATGTCACGGCTCACTAGTGTGCCGCGGCACAGTGGTTGAAAAACACTGGTGTAGAGATTAGCTGGGGTATTGCAGCCTAAATAAAATTCTTTCCCCTGGGAATCAAGGGCGTCCATGCAGGTGTCTGCAGGGCAGAGACTGAAATAACCTTACAACTGAACTGTATGCTGATTGGATCATGTGACTGAGACTCTGGCGGGGAGGAAATAAATGAAGTTTTACTTTTAATTGGGGGGGACAGCATCAACTTAGAGCTGATTTTCCACCAGGAAGTTGCCAATTTGATATGTTATAATAAAATGTTCTTTGAGGAACCTGCCTGTCTTGGAGTTCTTACTAAATGGGATCTATTACTTGGAACCCTGAAAGCCAGGAGAAAACAAGAGACAACCATCCAGATGTGTCTATTGTCATCAAGTGTCAAGTTCAACTTGAGAAACTCTTTCCATTACTTACAAGGTTGTTTTAGCTATATTGTCAGGCCTGGGAGCCATCTTTTGCATTGGATCTTTAGGCCTGCCATATTCAATGCTGTGGGAAAATGGATGGGGGGAATTATATGGACTATGGGAGATATATAGTCATAATAACATTCCTTTCTCAGAGAGTCGAGGACATCCTGTCCTGCACTTGGAGTGGTGGGACTAGGAGGCATCTCCAGTTGGGACGGTTCCTGATTGGGTCATGTGATGGACATGTGGGTGCTGGGCAGGGGCTTGGACATTCTTTTGAGTGGGGAAAACCTGGAAGCTTTCAGATTCGGGTTTTCTCAGATTTGCAAATATGACATCTCTAATAAAATGAAACTTTGAGGAACTTCAAGCCTTGGAGTCTTATTTCGTTGGGGGTGTTACTTGACATATATTGTACTGTACCCCACTTAATTGTTTCTAGAGGGGCAACTATTAAATACATTTATAAAGAAAGAGTTAATAGAAACAGGATCGACATTCCTGCATGCAAAGGATAAAAGCTCAGGCTTCAAAAAAAAAGGAGCCATTCTTTTCTTGAAAACAAGGATTCAGCTTTTTAGGATTATATAAATGCCTCTGCTAATTCCCTTTCTGCTGCGCACAGATACAGTATCAGCATTTCCCCATTCTCTTCAACTGCTCAGCTTTAAATATATAGATACGTCATGCATCAATTCACCAAGGCCTGTAGGTCTTTTACATTTGTCAAACGAAAGCAGGGGGATACTGCACTCTCACATCTTCATCTCTTCCCAATTTTGCTTAAGGCTGTGCTTATGAAAGAGGATTTTGATTTTGATGTAAAAACAAAAAACAAGGGAAGAGGAGCCAACCATGTCTGAAGAAATTTGGTATGGAAGAAGATGCCGCAAACACAACAATCTCATTTCCTCAAAAAGCTGCAGAATAGGGAGGATAAATCCTATTTAGCCCAAGAACCACTGCTGGGGCTGGGAATAACTTTTCGGCCTTACCTCCACCACTGTTGTTCTGGCAGCTTTACACATAGGCTGATTGAAGTTTCTTGCAGTTTTCCTGTTTGAGAAGAAAGAGGGCAACGTACGCTTAATAGAGCTGCAGTTATCATTTTCTATAATGTCAAGAAACATTGTGGTTAGTCGCAAAGTCATGTTCGACCCATTGCGACCGCATGGACAATGTTCCTCCAGGCCTTCCTGTCGCCTAACATCCCCAAGAGTCCATTTAAGCTCACGCCGACTGCTTCGGTGACTCCAAGTAACATTAGGAGAACAAAATTCAGTGTATAATCAATTCAGAGTTGAAAGTGGATTGGCCTTCAGGTCCAGAAATCCCAACCAAAGCAAAACCACTTTGCTATCTAGCTTCTGTTCGAACATAGCCAATAAAAGGATTTCCCTTTGTCCTTTCAGTTTACCAGTTTACAGAGTCAACATCAGTGTTGGGATTCAGCCAGTTCGCACCTATTCGGGAGAACCGGTTGTTAACATCTAAGCAGTTCGGAGAACCGGTTGTTGGAAGGAATCTCATTTTGTTTTTTTCCCACTTTACAGGGCTAATCCTGTAAGGAAGGT